TCCCAATTCAGAAGTCTTTTCACTATATATCTTTTCATTTGCTGGTTTAATGGTTTTAGTCCTAAATTGGTGTGCATGTAAGAACATGGGGGCTGTAGGTATAACCAGGGAATTTTTTTAAACTTCATCTGCCCACAATCCAGACACTTTTCATTCTTTCATTCGACACATATATGGAGTGCCTATTATTGCCACATCACTAGGCATCACTTATCAAGTCTGTAGACCCTTTCACAAGATACTCCAACATAGGAGAAGGGGCTCCCAGGTTCCTGGAACTGCATGCCTACAGCCCTCCAGGGCACTCCTGGAGCTTCTTTCCCAAGTTTCCAGCACTAAATTATTAGATTTATTTCTGTCTCCCTCCCTCTGTAGAGGTAATCCCAGAGAATGGAAGTGGGTTAGAAACAGATTACTCTGATCCAAGAGCTTTGCTCTCTCCTCCCTAAATATGGTGCGGGGGGGGTGGGGTGGGGGTAGTCACAAATAGCCTGAAATTCCCTTTTAGGATTATTACTTGATTGAGCCATCTGGGGTGAAAGTGGAGCAAGAAGAGGTGAGGAATTAACTCTAGTCCTAGCTTGAGCAGTGGGATGCGTGGGCTTCTCTGGTTGAGCGAGGATGAGCAGTATCTCTTCCTAAACCTGCCTTTAGAATAAGGAATCTAGGGCAGGCAGAAACTGGTGGAGGAAAAGGTTTTATCACCAGCAGCAGGGGTGAGTGGAAGGATGGACGGGAAGGAACAGCAGCCAAGAATAAGGAATTATTTGGGGGCTTGGAAACTTCCTGCATTTAGCTTCAACAAAGGGGAGAACTTCTCTCAGGGGGAGAGTTGACATGCTGGGCTTCCTGTGGATTTCCAGTTCATATCCCCAGCTGGAGCTCTCTTACTTCGGGGACACTGCACAGAGGTGGACTCCCAGGGCAGGGATGTTATCTATGTCCAGCACCAATAGCAGTTACACTTACCAGGATTCTGCTAGTACTCCATATACCCCTTTTGGGGCTATCATGGGGCTTGGAAGCAGGGTCTATAACTAGCCAGAGTGGAACCATGTATTAACTCGCTTAATAATTTAATGACAATTCTGTAAGTTAGGTACTTAATTATCCCCTTTCTATATGTGAGGAAAAGAGGTGGAACTTGGATGTAAACTGATGCCCTATATAGCATTTTTGTTTTTTGGAGACAAGTTTGAGTGCAGTGGTGTGATAATAGCTCACTGCAGTCTTGAACTCCTGGGTTTAAGTGATACTTCAGCCTCAGCCTCCTGAGCTATATCTTAGCAGGCGCATGCTTGGCAAATTTATTTTTTATTTTTTTGTAGAGACAGAGTCTCGCTATGTTGCCCGGGCCAGTCTTGAACTCCTGGCCTCAAGCGATCCTCCCACCTTGGCCTCCCAACATGCTGGGATTAAAGGTATGAGCCGCTACGTTTGGTCAAGGAACTATAACATTCTTTTTTTTTTTTTGAGTCAGAGTCTCACTCTGTTGCACAGGCCTGAGTGGCAATGGCACGCTGCTCATCATCACTGGAGCCGCGACCTACTGGGATCAGGCAATCCTTCCTCCTCAGTCTTCCAAGTAGCTGGAACTACAGGCGTGCGATACCACGTCTGGCTAATTTTTTGATTTATTGTAGAGACGAGGTCTCACCAAGTTGCCCAGGCTGGTCTCAAACCCCTGGACTCAAGCAATCCTCTCACCTTGGCCTTCCAAAGTGCTGGGATTACAGGCTTGAGCCACCGTGTCTGGCTATAACATTCTTAACTACCATGTCAGAGCCATATATAATCAAGTTGAGTGACAAAGAAGCTTTGCTAACATTGTTGACTAAAGATCAGTTGAGAGTATTTCTCAGAAAGTAGTATTCTTGTTTCTTCTGTGGCACCTTAGCTTGAATACTTCTTTTGCTTTCCATATTCTCGTTCCAGGGAGGGGGAAGGGAAGTACAATATAAACACATGGCAAGTCTATTACTTCCTTCAATCCAAGTACTATATTGTTCAGAATTAGATTCTTCCAATTCTCCAGAAGAATTTTCCTTGTTCAAATGAGCTGTACTTCTTCTAGAATGTAAGTTATTAGGCAGAATTTCAGAAGTTTCCATTTTTGATGTCATCTGCCCCTGGGAGGGAAGAAAATGTAAAGTATTTCACTGCTCCTGGGGGGGTGGGGAGGGTCTCCTCTGCTTTGGGCCCCATTAAAAAGTTTCAATAGGCCTGAGCCTGAGGGTTCGAGACCCGCCTGGGCAGGCGAGACCTCATCTCTACAATAAATCAAAAAATTAGACAGGCGTGGTAGCGCGTGCCTGTAGTTCCAGCTACGTGTAAGGCTGAGGCGGAAGGATCGCCGGAGCCCAGCAGGTCGAGGCTGCGGTGGCTGGGAGCAGCCACTGCACTCCAGTCTGGGTGACAGAGTGAGACTCCAACTCAAAAAAAAAAAAGTTTCAATAGGACAACAAAGGATTCCAGGAACCCCCTGTATTTGGGAAAACAGGAAACCAACTTTGCTTTCTGCCTCATCATATTCCTTTTTTTGCATTGGAGTCTCACTCTGTTGCCCAGGCTGGAGTGCAGTAGCACGCTCACGGCTACTACAAACTCGACCTGCTGGGCTCAGGCGAATCTTCTGCCTCAGCTTTCCAAGTAGCTGGAACTACAGATGCGTGCTACCACGCCCGACTTATTTTTTGATTTATTGTAAAGATGAGGTCTCACCCAGTTGCCAAGATTGGTCTCCTATCCCTGGGCCCAGGCAATCCTCTTGCTTCGGCTTCCCAAAGCACTGAGTTTATAGGTTGAGCCACTGCATCCAGCCCTCATGTTCTGTTTTATTTATTTTTTATTTTTTTAAGTCAGAGTCTCACTCTGTCACCCAGGCTGGAGTACAGTGGCATGCGTGGCCACTGCAGCATCGGCCTGCTGGGCTCAGGCGATCCTTGTGCCTCAGCCTTCTAAGTAGTCATACTCTATTTTCTAAGGAATAGAGCAGATAGACAGGAGTCTGTTAATAAATAATTAGATATCACTCATTTAAATGTTTAATAATTTATATATATTTATACATATATATATATTTAAAATCAGGATCTCACTCAGGTGTCCAGGCTGGATCTCCTGGGCTCAGGTGATCCTCCTGCGCCAGCATTCTGGGTAGCTGGGTCTGTAGGTACGGGCCACCACAACTGGCTAATTATTTTATTTTATTTTTGTAGAAACAGTTTCGCTATGTTGCCCAATCTCAAACTCCTGAGCTAAAGCAATTTACTCGCCTCAGGCTCCAAAAGTGCTGGGATTACAGGCATGAGCAACTGTGCCCGGCCTATATTCTTTAACACATACATACAGTATATAATTTCACATCACTATTAGTGTGTTGTGCTATAGGTTCAATGCGGTTGCTAGAACTTGTGGGAAAATTCTTACCCTGGAAGAATTACAGTCTAATTGAGAAGTTAAGTCAAGACAATACATGTGATCTCCAAACCCAAAGGTAATTTATTTCAGTCCCTTTGATAGTCCTTAGCCTTTGGCTTCTATCTTTGCAGCTTCTCTTGTATGTACACCTATACCTACCAACTCATTACAAAACATTGTAGATAAGTGCCCCATGAGCACTAATAGGCAGAAAAAGGTAATGACCAATGCTAAGTGTGAAAAATGTTTACCATTCAGCAACGTTTACAGTACTGGATTTTCCAGGGTGGTCTCAACATCATGAATCCTTTAAGAACTGAATGTGGGTTGGGCATGGTGGCTCAAGCTTGTAATCCCAGCACTTTGGGAGGCCGAGGTGAGAGTACTGCCTGAGTCCAGGAGTTCGAGACCAGCCTGGACAACTTGGCAAGACCTCGTCTCTACAGTAAATAAAAAAATTAGCCAGGTATGGAAGCGCGTACCTGTAGTTCCAGCTATTTGGAAGGCTGAGGCCGAAGGATCGCCTAAGCCCAGCAGGTCAAGGCTGCGGTGGCCATGCACTGCACTCCAGACTGGGCGTGGCACTGCACTCCAGACTGGGTAACAGAGTGAGACTCCAACTCAAAAATAAATATATAAATAAAACTGAAAGTGGGCTGGGCGCAGTGTCTCACGCCTGTAATCTCAGCACTTTGAGAGGTGGACGTGAGAGGACCGCCTGAGCCAAGCGGTACAGGATCAGCCTGGGCAACATGGCGAGATCTGCTTCTACAACAAATCAAAAAATTAGGTGGGCATGGTGGCGCGCGTCTGTAGTTCCAGCTACTTGGAAGGCTGAGAAAGAAGGATGGCCTGAGCCCAGTAGGTCGAGGCTGCGGTGGCCAAGAGTATGCCACTGCACTCCAGCCTGGGCGACAGAGTGAGACCCCAACTCAAAAACAAAACCAAAACAACAACAAAAAACCTGCATGTGAAGCAGCATATCTTAGTAGTTACGTGCTCCGGTTCTGGAGTTAGACTGCTGGGATTCAGCTCTCAGTTCTGCCAGTTATTAGCCACCTAAACTTAAGTAAATTATGTAATTTCTCTGTGACTCTTTTCTGAAATGACGTATCAGAAATGTTTTTGTCAATCCACGTGTCTTCTGCGTTAGTAAACACAGCACTCAACCTCCTCAACAGTAAAAAAGGATTTCCTTCATACGGCACAGATGGGGAAGACGACCTCGGGTTCAAGGTTACACGGTATACTGAGGTCAGATACACACCCAGAAACGACTCTTTTTCGCCCTCGCAAGTGCCTTCAACGTACTCCAAGCATTGAGGAAAACACCGGTCTCAGAGCTCTCTGACTTCAGAGGGAAATACCCTTTCATTTCTCAACGAATGGAAATAAGCTGCAGCAGAGTGCCAAGCACACAGAAACGCAGCCACCCCAGGCGGCGAGAAAACCTCCTCCGCATGCGCAGCTCGCGCTCCAGCGCTCTCCTGCAGGCGCGTGACATCCGTGCGCTCCATCCCATCCCCAACCCCGCCTCCCTGCGCACGCGCGGCCGCCCTCCACCCTCCCTGCCTCCACGAGGACGTGCGCGTCCTCGCTGCTCACATTTCGGCGGAGGGCGCGCGCCCTGGAAAATTCCACTCCCGGGCTAGCTCCGCCCCGTGCGCCTTCCCTGCTACCCCACGCTCTTCTCACCCTCAGCCTGCATCCCGGCGGCCTTTGCGTGAGCAAGATGGCAGCTCCCGTACCTCGGGTGTTGTCTCGCTTATCCAGGGCTTTGGGCTGGTGGTCTCGGCAGGTGGGTAGGGTCGGGGCCGGCAGGACTCCAGGGGCTGGAAGAGGAGGACATAGTAGAGGGAAGTACTTGCTGTGCAGTTGTCCTTGGTGAGCTGGGACAGTACGATTCGGACCTAGGCCCGGCAAGAGCGTGAGGGGGATGTCGGTGACCCAGCTTCAGTACTGAGTTCAGTGGCCGACTGGGGAGATCCTGGGCAGGGCCGTGAGGGCGAGCGATTTCGTCGGGATTAAGTTTTTCCAGTTTGGCGTGAGTCTGCCTGGAGGAGACAGAAGTAATGACTTGGAAGCTGGGCTCACTTCTCTTCAATGTTTATAAATGTCCTAAATTGAACGGTAGCTGAAATGGAGGGAGTCCCCCCTAGTGTCATTGTCCCTGTCTGAGCAAACGTCGTGATCAGAGAGAAAAGGTCTCCTGGCCTTTAAAGAGCTTATTGGTCAGTTGGGTGCTAAAATGGCAGAATGAGGTTTACACGAAGACTCCCGATAGAGTAAACAAAATGTAATTCGAGCACAAGTGGAGGAGATGCGAGGAAGAGGACCGCTTACGTTTCAAGAACAGCACTCTGCTCATTTCAGTATTGGGTTTGTGTTTTCACATCGGACTGGAAGTTCTCTGAAAGTAGAAGCCTTGTTTAAAAATCAGCTCTGTCCCTAGGAGTTAACATACTACCGTACTGTAGAAAGTACTAAAAAGGAAAGCCTTTAGTAAGTGTGGAGTCATGTTAATAAAGGTCATGAACTGGTTAAGAGACATCGACCAGGTGGGATGGATCAAGTCTGTAATCTCAGCACTGTGGGAGGTTGAAAAGAGAGGATCATTTGAGGCCAGGAGTTCAAGACCAGTCTGGGCAACATAGTGAGACCTCGTCTCTTTTTAAAAAAAAAAAGAGAGAGAGAGAGTCACCCATAAGTGTTCAAGTTCTTTTTTTTTTTTTTCAATCAGACTCACTCTGTCACCCAGACTGGAGTGCAGTAGCACCCTCACAGCCACACAGCCTCGGCCTGCTGTACTTAGGTGATCCTTCTGCCTCAGCCTTCTGAATAGCTGGAACCACAGGTGCGCACCACCACACCCAGGCAATTCTTTTGATTTATTGTAGAGACAGGGTCTCTCCAAGATACTCAGGCTGGTCTCAACCCCATGGGCTCAGGCAGTCCTCTTGCCTCAGCCTCCCAAAGTGCTGGGATTACAGGCATGAGCGACCCAAGCCCCACTAGTGTTCAGGTCCTAATGCATTTTTTTTCCTTGTGTTAATTGTTTTTTAATTGTTCTTGAAGCATTCTTTGGATATGCCTTTTCTGTAGGACTTTGCTTAGAGTGTGTTCAAGATAGTAGGTTTATTTTTTCCAGATTGCCTATGTGCTAACCTTTCCCTCACCTTCCAGCCAGTCCTGGTGACTCAGTCAACAGTTGTAGTTCCAGTGAGAACCAAAAAACGTTTCACACCTCCTACCTATGAGCCTAAATACAAAACAGAAAAGGAGTTTATAGAACATGCCCGGAAAGCAGGATTGGTCATTCCTCCAGAACACTTGGAGCGTCCCATACATCTGGCCTGTACAGGTGAGACGTGGTATTTCTGGGACCCTGATTCAGGCCCCCTTCTGTCAGAGATCTTCTGGAACTTGAAATGACTTGAACTATGATAGATGGCATTTATTTAGACCCTTCTGTCAGAGATCTTCTGGAACTTGAAATGACTTGAACTATGATAGATGGCATTTATTTAGACACTAGATCAGTTTGACCTCAATAATGGTTTACTATATATATGCTATATTTCATGAGGTCACCTTTGAGCTTGTTTTCACACTATTCCTGGAGGGCAAGAGTGAAATTTCCCCATATTGTAGAAGTAGAAACTGAGACTCTGAGAGAAGACTTACATTATTCTATTTTTATTTTAGTGTAACATGGTTCTCTCTACATGGAAGTCTGTTTATTAGTCTCCTTCATATCTGTGATCCTTCTCAATTTTATGTGACCTTAAGATGACTTTTTCTCAACCTTTCAACATTTAAAAAAATTTTTTTCTCTCATTACAGCTAATATCTTTGATGCCTATGTTCCTCCTGAGGGTGATGCTCGCATGTCATCTCTTTCAAAGG